TTTTGAGGTTGTTGCCATGTGCAACTCAGGTATTGGCTTTGCAGCCTCAAGCCGTTACTCCTCTAACTCAAGATGTCTCCGGAGATCTTCCAGAGTTGCAATTCGCTCATTATAGGTCAAATGCATTTTCATATGATCCCAAGAACTAGGTAAAGAGCGTATGGCAGCTTGGCTTTGTTGTTCATCGGGCAACACATGACCAACATCTTTCAACTCCTCGATCAAATTTGTCATTTGCCTCAAATATGTTTTCATTGAATGTTCTGGGCGTTTCTTATATGAATCAAATTTGATTGTTAAGGATCGCAGCCTTAAAGTGGAATAGGTACCAATCTTTTTTCTCAAAGCATTCCAAAGATCCATAACTCTTTGGTGATTCTTAAACTCCCTTAAGATGTCATCATCCAAGGTGCTCAACAACGTAATGCGAGCAATGGAGTTCTTTTTCTTCCAACTGTCATAGGCTTCACGCTCACGCCTATGCTGAGCAGTGTTGCCTTCCTCAGGCTCATTCATGACGTTGTTAATGGACTCCAGAGCCTCTTGTACCTCTAGCACATACCAGACTTTCAAGCTCCAGGTTTTATAGTTGTCACCATTGAGTTTCAACCATTTGTCGAGCTCAGCAACAATGTTTTTCGAAGCAGTAGTCATTCTTTAACAAAATAAAAAATATTATGAGGATCATGTAAAAATAAAAAAAATAATGCAAGGCACGATGTTCAACATACATACATATTATGATACTAAGCATAAATTGATTAAGTTAATAAACACATATATTAATCACGGAGTCCAAAGTTCACTATGTTCCCGATCATCATCCAAAAATTAAAATATTATGAAAATTAACCTATTCAATTGTCTAGCTAAGCGTCTTAATCATGTTTAAGATAACATAATTATCTAACATGATTTTATAATCCCATGTGGATTATAAGGTAACAAATAACTTATATTAGCATGCAAATAAAATTAATATCAAACTAATTAATATTTATTACATGCTATACAAATTTACATAATATTTTATTTTAATGTTAAACTAATTAACATATCATACATATTAAATAAATTAACAAGTAATATTAATATTAAACTAATTAATATTTGATTTCATGCTCAACAAATTAACATAAAGCATGTGTTAAACTAATTAACAAAAGTAGTGTTAAAACAATTAACATTTCAAGCATGTTAAACAAATTGACAAATAAATTTAATGTAAAACAAATTAACATTTCTAGCATGTTAAACAAATTAACAAATAAATTTAATGTTAGATAAATTAACATTTCTAGCAGGTTAAACAAATTAACAAATAAATTTAATGTTAAACAAATTAACAAATAAATTTAATGTTAAACAAATTAATATTTCAAGCATGTTAAACAAATTAACAAATAAATTTAATGTTAAACAAATTAACATTTCAAGCATGTTAAACAAATTAACAAATAAATTTAATGTTAAACAAATTAACATTTCAAGCATGTTAAACAAATTAACAAATAAATTTAATGTTAAACAAATTAACATTTCAAGCATGTTAAACAAATTAACAAATAAATTTAATGTTAAACAAATTAACATTTCAAGCATGTTAAACAAATTAACAAATAAATTTAATGTTAAACAAATTAACATTTCTAGCATGTTAAACAAATTAACAAATAAATTTAATGTTAAATAAATTAACATTTCTAGCATGTTAAACAAATTAACAAATAAATTTAATGTTAAACAAATTAACATTTCAAGCATGTTAAACAAATTAACAAATAAATTTAATGTTAAACAAATTAACATTTCTAGCATGTTAAACAAATTAACAAATAAATTTAATGTTAAATAAATTAACATTTCAAGAATGTTAAACAAATATACAAATAAATTTAATGTTAAACAAATTAACACTTCTAGCATGTTAAACAAATTAACAAATAAATTTAATGTTAAATAAATTAACACTTCTAGCATGTTAAACAAATTAACAAATAAATTTAATGTTAAACAAATTAACATTTCAAGCATGTTAAACAAATTAACATTTCAAGCAATTGGGATAATAAAAAAATTATAGTAGTTCATAAAAAAAATATAAATACTAAATTTATATTTTTAAAATTAGTCCATATGACTAATTTTCGAAATCTAAAATTTATAAAAATAAATAACAGAATCTCAAGTTATTTTTAATTTTTGGCTATGAGCCATTGAGCCTAAAATAAAAAATGGATCTGCATGGATAATGGTAAAAATAGCACGGGCTAGCCAGTTTTTGGGTCATTAAAAAATAGCCACTATTTTGCTGCAACACGAAAATTTCCAGCATAATATACTGGAGTTTGGTGCACCTATGTATGAACTTCCAACATATTATGCTGGAACTCCAACACACGGAAAATTCCAGCATAATATACTAGAGATTGGAGCACCTGTGTATGAACTTCCAGCATATTCTGCTGGACTAGTATATTATGCTGGAACTCCAGTATATTATGCTGGAACTCCAATATATTATGATGGAGTTCCATTATACTGGAACTCCATCATAATATACTGGAACTCCAGTATATTGTGCTGGAAGTTCACATGTAAAAAATTCGAACTCCAGTATATTATGCTGGAATATTTTTCGGATTTTGAACATTGTTTTCGTTCAAATTTATCTTTTAATAAAAAATGGCTAAATTTCGATTATTTTTGAAACTGTGACTATTTTCAATTATCACTTGTAAATTTGACTATTTTTTAATTTCACTCTGTATAATGGGCCATAAGCCCAATTTTATTAAATTTGCCCATTTGAGATAAGAAAAGCAGCCCTGTCCTTTTGATTTTTTAATAAAGCTAAGTGGGCCTTTAGCCCAAAACTAAGAAGACCAACATTCTAAAGAGAGAAGTTAAGGGTTTCTACTCTTTCTTCTTTCTCAAACTTCAGCCGCCGCTCACGTTAATGAAGTTTTTTTTTTAATTGCTCATTGCATTAAAACAGACAGAAACATGATCGATTCACACATAAAACAACTGAAGTTTGTTTTTCATTTTTTTTATCAGATTTGAAAACTGATTTCAGATCAAACTGAAAAAAATATTATGCTTAGGTTAAACATATTAACCACACAATTGCACTGTAAACATACAAAATCATATATATACGCCAAGTTCTAGATTCACACATAAATTTAGACTATTTTATATATTGTAGCAACCTCTATTTCACAGTCCAAATCCAAGTATGACTTTAGGAGAAAACTAGGTGAAAATAGTGTCTACTTTTATTGTACATAATAAGTGTAGTTATATAGGGAATACTAGAGTTACGATAATTACTGTACTTTACCTAGTGGGCCTAAGAGCACCCTTTGATTGACTCTATTTCCTACGTTCTGAAATCACGTTCATAAGTTTAAGCCACAGTTAAACTCAGAATGCTGGAACTCCTTTATTTTGTTGAAGTAAAGAGTTGATATGGGATGTTGCATCTATGTTGGGAGAGTATGTACCTAATACTGCCAGTTGATTGTTGGATAGGTCTATTCAAGGTCAAGGAGAGAAAATCATGCAAGATGGTGCCCTCAGCTGCTACGTATAAAGTATACTTGATTGCATTTCCTTAGCCTCTTTTGAATGAGTAAATAAAAAATATGTTTCAAATGGGTAGAAATATCCAGTGTAGTGCTAAATGAGTTGCATAATATCATTTAATAGCTTTGATTTTTGTTATCCTATTAACATCTTCAATTATTTAGATTTTAGAACAAGGGCTATTGGCTCCAAAGTAGCAACTAACAAGGGGGTGTATTTTATCATCTCAGCTTTCATTGATCCCTCCCTGATGCCACAATCAGTCGCTTTTGTTTTGTTAGATTGCTCACTGCTACGTTAGTCTGTGTTCTGCTGTACATTTCATTTTAGTTAGATTGCTCACTGCTATCTCCTTGCATGATCACCTATTATTCCAGAGGAAGCACACAAATAGGTCAATCATACTGCTAAATTCTTACTAGGAGAGTAGGATGGGTTATTTTGTCTCAACGGTGTGTTGTGTGTCAAATGATCTTATTATTAATTAAAGAAACATGAAACTGCAGATAATATATATNGACGTTGAAAGATAGAATTAATAACACCTGAAGAATGGATTCTTCTGTATAGACCACAAACCACACATTCTTGGATGACATGACCTGATGTCCTCTGTCCTTATAAAAGTTAAAAACAGTAGCTGGAATCATAGTGGATTGCCTTTTCAATATGTTTTGCTTCTTATAGTAGCCTCTTTGAATTATGAGCCACCATTACCAGCAGCTCCACTTCCATTTGTCTTGTTGCTTGTGCTATTGTGTGCAATACAGGACTGACTGATTATGGGACCCTTTGGCTGACTTCAATTTCCTTTAACCTTGTTTATTCTTCAATTGATATGCAAAAGAAAATGTTCACATTGATGCTTTTAGTTTGCCAACTCGCCAAATCTTTTGGTTTTTGTTTTCCTGTTGAAAATTTTGAAGAACTTTGATATTCTTTTTCTTGCCACAGTTCAGGTGGTAATCTGAAATGCAGAAATACAGGATAACCCTATTTACAATTGACCCTTATGGTCTGGCCCTTCCGCAGACCACGTAAATAGCGGGAACTTGTCCTTTTTTTTTTTTTTTTAGTTCAGGTGGTAATCTAATGACTGAAGTAGTAAACAAACCATATGGAGACTTTGATTTGTTGATCATGACATATTGGTGTTTTCACTTTCATAGATTTTGATTCAAAGTTATGTAGCGATAGGAGAGGTCTAATTTTTTTTTTTGGAAACTCTAGGAAAACCCGCAACCGCTGCAGCCTCTACCCTTCGGGTGAGCACTCTGTGCGCATTGGGTAAACCCCAACTATGTAATAGCCTGCAAACCACACAGGGAATATAAAACGCGCTAGGCAATCCAGGGTAAAGCATGAAGTTATATATGCATGGAAACTGCAGTGGCTTAACTCTGAAATGATACTCATAACTCATGAGCACATGAATTAAAGACTCATGTTTGCATTCAGGTAAAAGAGAATTAACAACATGAAGAAGGAAAAACTTAGAAAATATCTCCAGCTCACTCTCATTTTTTCTTCCTTTCCTCTCTGAATCCTTAAAGTCAGTAAACAACTCATTTTCAGATAAGTAAATTCTATGTAGTGGATTGGTTTGATGATTCAGCCTTGAGATGAGCAGTGTCGAGGTCACTGAAAGCATGAAAAGGACTGTCAATGATCATCCGACGAAGGTCAGAAGCCTCTTCCTTGAGCTGCATATTCTCCTGAATGACTCTGTCATGAGATTCTGTGACTTGGTTTAGTTTATTCATCAGATTCTGATTCTCTGTTCGAAGGCGAAGAACTTGGGACCATAGCTCATCAAGGTGTCTCTGCTTCCTCATCCTTGATCTTCTAGCTGATTCCCTATTAGATACCATTCGCCTCTGCTTTCGTTTTTGTTGCTCCTCCGATTCGTCTGAGGTCGAGTTACTGCTGATGCAAGAGGGCTGTGTACTCAAGTCTTGAACAGGAAAAGAGGCCTGATTATAATTTTGTATATTGTTGTTTGTTAAGAATGTGTTGTATTGGAATGCTGGTAAGTTTTTGTGCATGAAGCTGAAATCAATGGGAAGTGATGAGGGGTTGTTTTCTGGAGCAAAGTAGTGGATTGCTGCAGCCTCTGATGAAATCATGATTGACTGTATTTGAAGGTGATAGATAATATATTTGGAGAGAAGCTTTAGTTTAGTTTGCAGATGAGGTTTTAAGTTAAGGGCAGGTTTTTATAGGAGCACAAGGTTTGAGAATTGTGGGCCACAATAAGTTAACTGTACTGTGAGGAGCTGTGGAAAGCAGTTAATAAGATAGTTTATTCATTTATGAAGCACAATGAAGGAAAAGACATCAACTGTGCCTATAAGTAAAGAACAGACAATACCAGGAGAGTTGATGATCAATCTAAAAATAGTTAAACTATGAAAAGTATACATATATACAGCCGCCACCAATTAGTTAGTGACTATAAGATAAAGTTGATGCATATATATTAGCATAGTTGGTTTCAAGGTCCAGAAACGTGATTCATATAGTCGATCTCAACTGGTTGGTTGAGGCATAGTTGATGTGTATTTTTTATTGAAAGAAAAGGCATCATACATGTATGTAATGCATATGGATAATTTAATACATGCATATCATGAAATCTTAATGAAGGTTGAGTTTCTTTGGATAATTGCTGAACAGTACATGTAATGTAATGATGCTTACAAGGAAGAAAAGTTTGTGATGATTGGGACAGGAATTATTTAAGGTGGGAATGGTATGGAATAAGAAGAAGAAGAAAAAAAGAGAAGCTGTATGTAATTTGAAAATCATATTAAAGTCTCACAGCCAATAGCATATTGTGATTGATGACGAAATCTAGGTCAATTGAAAAGTTATAAACTATTTAAAGCATAGAATTTTGATGATTATTTTAAACAAATAATGAGTCGAAAGGCACTTGAAATTGAGATAGAAGGGACCCACATGAGAAATGTAATAGTCTATATTAGTATATACTATATACTTTAACATCACTGTACCTAAATGCTGTCTTCTCAGCTTTTGTTAAATTGGCCATTAGCTGAATTAGCCTCTGCAGTCAGCACAATAGAACTTACTTACATATTGAGTGAGCTTCTTCAGTATTTTACCTTTGGATTGCTTTTTCATTTCCCCTGCTCTCAATAAAAAGGTTAATCTGGTAGGCTAAATTTTCGCTATACTTAGGGTCAAGGAAGAATCATACATATTAGGTAATATTATATTATACATAGTCTTTTTTTGTATTTCTACAAGAAACTTTTTCTACGAATTGGATTGGTGACCGCTGCTAACTTCTATGGTTGCACCAAAAAAGTTGAGAGGAATAATAAAACCAAACGTGCTGCATAGCTATAAACCACATATATAGTTCCAGAAATTAGGAATTATCTTTAATTAGTATTTCTTACCTTGCACTCTCTTTTCTTACGATGAGTACAGTAGTTAACTTTTTTAGTATGTCATTATTTGTTTTTATTTGAGGAAAAGCCCAAGTAAAAGTAAATAGAGTACCTTTCTGGAACACTACGAAGTGATGAGCCCACATGTAGCAGAATGAGAACTAGGAGGTACTATCTATAGACTATATACATCAGGGCAAATGTAGCTTTTCGCTAAACTTATAACTTTCGATAAAAATCTATAAAATTTTTATAATTAGTATTACATTTGTATTCATAACTTTAACGGTAGAATGAGTCCAATGCTAAAATCTTACAAGTTGAACCCATTAAATTTAAATTCTGAATATGTCTTGTTAAATGGCTTCTGGTGGAAGGTATTTGTTTTGTTTTAATGTACTATTATGGTCATGTTTGTAATTGTTCATATGATCTTTCAAGAACTGAAGAGCCTTAATATTGACTCTGATCACCTTACTATTTCTGCTACTGCTTGATTTTCTTTCTCCAATTTTTACACCAACTCTAAGAGCTAGCTCAGCTCCTTTCAGATGAATTATAAAATGTTAATGTCTGCCTAGTAAATATCCCATATAGTGATCAATTCTTTGTTTTTGGATAGAAAAATATAATTATGCTTCGGTCCCAAAAAATTGAGGTTAGCTGTATATATAAATCATCACGTTCTCAACAAAAAAATATTTTATTTTATTGTAGTGCTTTTACCAAAAATTGCAGAAATGTGATATTTTTTGGTAGTCTTTAACTTTCGACCCTCACTTGCTTCATCGGTCGAACATCTAGGTTAAAAGTTTAAAATGTTATCTATAGGGCAAGTGATGGGTAACACTAATTAAACTTAAAGTTGTACCCACATAGCAAGCGACAACAAAAATTCAAGATCGTCCACTTAAAGGGCTATTTGTGTACTTCAACCTGTTTTTACAGGGTTAATATAGTGATGTTGGTAACTTCTAATTTGATCAGACATCAGCATATTAGCATGTTGAAGAATGTATGCACTTGCAAGAGCCATTAATTGAGTAAGGATTATTCTAATACCTTCATTTTCTTGCCTACCCATTATCACTCTTAATTATTTATATATTGCCGAATGTCCAGTCCCTAAAAGGATTATGTCTCTTTAACTTGGTAAATGGTAACAATCATAAAGCCATCAAATTCATGGCAATTGGCAAACCATCGCCCCCCCCCCCCCCCNTTTTAATTTATTTGTTTTAGTTTAACGTGGCACAAAATTTAATAAAGAGATGAAGATTTTTAAAATATGTGATCTTAAATATGAGATAACATTTGTGTAACTATAAAACTTTTGAAACTAATGATTTTAGAGAAGTTATAGCATTTGTGTAGTTATAAAAGTTTTATATTCAGAAAATATAGGAATGTGCCAAATTTTAAAACGGACTAATAAGAGAAATGCCAATCTTTTTGAAATAGCGAGAATTCTATTATCTCACATTTCAAGAGATTACTCTTTTTTTTAAGTAATTAAGAGATTAAATTTTTTGCAGCGACTAAGTCCTAATAAAAACTACAAAAGTCACACGAAAGATTATTCGTAACGACCCAAGGATTGTTGAGAAAAGTCCCGTGCTTGACACTTATTCCCGGCAACACAAAAGAGTCGCCACAAAAAGTGACTCCTAGATGAAATAAAATAAAGACATCCGCTTTATCTTAACAAGATATTAAGACACATGATATACAAATAACAAGAACGTCTGCGTGAAGTCGCAATAAGATGACTAGTGTAATTAACCGATATGTAATTGACTATTTATTCCGGAGTATTTCCAATATATGAAACAAGGTTATCTTATCATCAAGATATGGTTATAGTATTAGCATTATCTCCCTAATTATCAACAGTTTTTATTGAAAAGGATCGATTGAATTGAAAGAATTCTTCTGAAAAGTGAAAGTGTTTTACCTTAAGATTCCGTGTAAGGGATTGACAAGATTTTGTAGATTATTTCTGATTTTATTCGTGCCAGATGTAAAGAAACTAAGTGGAACTGAAAATAATAACAATAACATTGGATGCAGAAGAACATACGTGTGTATATTTATATCCACATACATATATAGTATGATGTGAGTGAATGGTTGAGGATTATAAGCAACTTGAATTTCTGGCATAGACATATACATTTATTTGAGAACTTGTCTTATTAAGGTTTGGTTCATTTTTTATTTTTTTTTAAAATCTTTTATTTTGCCCATTTGTTAATCTATCTGTTCCTTGTGGCCACTACCTTTTTATTTAGAAAAAGCTTTAACTTTTAGTAGTATTAAACAAAGCAAAATATTATACATTTATATAGAAAAGGTCATGTCAGATATCAAAGGTAGCAACTTGCAATCGCAAAATGCATTTTCTTCAATTATTTAGCACTTAATATAAAGACTTCAATCGTACCACCCCACACGGCCACACCCACCTTTTTGTGTTAATTTATTTTTCTCCCCACTATGCAACTATTCTCTTTGTGTAGCGACAACTCCGTAGATTGGATAAGAACTAATCAGAGAAAGTATAAATTAATCAAACGAATTTTAAGGTTCCTACCGTACAGTTTATCAATTTTCTCTTTCAATCAAAAATTGATAATATGATAGTAGTTATACGTGGACGGCTGTGTAATTGTGAGTTAGGTTTGTTTTGTTCTTTCCAATGAAAGAATAAGCATAACGAGTATAAGAGATTAAGACATGCATGTAGTATAATATGTAGCATACAATCTTTATTCAGTCTAGATTACATGACCCTTTTCATCATTTTAAACTGAAAATACAAGAAGTGATATTACATAAAAATTTCCCCAAGTACGTAGTCCTTTCGTCCATTACGACCTTTAACTATGCGGTGTCTTATTAAAGGTCGTATGCGCAAAAAATGATTACTTTAGGGGATTTTATGTATGATCCTTAGAACAATGGAATAAAACATGCAAAATCCTCATTTCAAACTGTTGTATCGCTTTCCAGTTCGGTGCACGAGGTATTTCGTATTCACACAAAATTCAGGAAAGGATCGAATTTCAAGAGGCGTGATGTGAATAGTCTACCCTAATGCAATTATTAGTAGCTGCTTCCATGACTCGAACGTGCTCCTTATATATTGATGAGCTAATAAACAATAATTTTAGTGGATGACATAACATAGGAAATAGAAGAAGAGGACAAAATTTTAAGAAAAAGGACATAAAATGACCATTCATGGTACATTTCTTCCTTGTTAATAATGAACTATCTACTATTGCTAAACGTAGTTCTCATTGATCAAGAAAGACGAAAATAATAGATGGTCTGACTGATAAACAGGAAAAGGATGACGAACTTGTCACTTACGTACGGTGGGGAACTGGATTTAACGGCTTCGCTATTAAACACCAAACAAAAAAACACATCAATTTGTGTTGAATTATTTTTCAAAGCCAACTATCAATATAGTCGAAAACTTTGCCGACCATCCAAACGATGTTGTAGAATGGCTCTGGATTTATCCACTCTTTATCATGAATTTTGAATTTGACGTCTACATAATGAAGAATCTTTTATTTAATATAGGAAGCGCTTTACTTTCATAATAATTGGATACTCGCAAGCTAAAAAAAATAGAATTAGTCCGATTAATAAGTTCTGAATATTAAATGTCGGCTCAGAACCAAAATAAAAATAAAAATAAAGGAGTAAAAAAAGAAAGAAGAAGATTTACTGAATGGAGGCAGACATGGTACCAATGACATTGACTGACTACTCGTTTTAAATTTTTTCTTTCGTCAATGGAGTCTATAAGCTATTTGGATGCTTGATTGTGGCAGGTGGGCCTTTTTCTCTCCCAGTATTATTGCTTTGCCTGTCTATACATTTGTATATTCAATTTAGATGAG